GCAGGTCTGGGGCACTATAAGAACCGTGCTGAGAAGGCGAGGACGGTGGACAGCGGTGTGGGCGGCGGCAGCAGCAGCAGCGCGGCGCTGAACACAGCCAGGCTTGAGGGCCAGGCCGTGTGCAAGACTGAGCGGCTGCAGGCCATCTCCAACCCCCTCGGGCCCTACGACAAGAACTACAGCCGCAAGAGACTAAGAGAGCCGTCGCTGGACAGAACCGACAGTGAGTCTTTAAAGAATGAAGCCCAGTTCGAACGCAGAAGAAACGCATCTCTCATAACATCTGTTTAATGTGGAACTGAAGGTTCCCTGGTATGAAAACTGTAGTAATTCGATGAATCCCGCCATTTTGAAGCTTCCTGACACCTTTGCCTCAGACAGATTCAGATCAGACGTTAAAGATGAGAAAATTCTCTGAATATACACTCGTCTAAATCTTCTCCCTCTCCTGCAGCCTCCCCTAAACTCTTCTTGGACTCAAGCAGCACCTGCCCCACTCTGGCCAACATGCACTCGTCCCTTCACAGCCCCCTGACACGCCAGCTGTCCACGTCTTCAGAGAACTCCACGCCGCTGGGCGCCAGCAGCCAGAGCGTCCTGAGCACACCCGTAAGGAAAACACTGGGCTTCATGTCGTAGTGTAGCTACAGTCGAGCTTTTCTGTGCCGAACGTTAACAAGATCAGATTATTTTAACTCCTGACACCAGAAATACAGGCGTGACAGGAAGTGTTGGCATGTTGTTATCAAACTATGATGGAGATGAAAAGCTCTGTTTCTTTGACTCACATGAGTTTGAGTCTGCAGCTGCACCTCGAGAGGAAGTAGAGAGCAGCATGAAGACGAGGATCGCTCATTTCATATTCAGTCTCCGGGAGTAGCTGCAAAATTACTGGCACAAAAAACAAACCATAAGATAAATGCTCGACTTGAAGACATGGCTCCTTAAGAAGTCTTAAATTAGACTTTACAAATAAAAGACCTTAAAAGTAGCAAATTGTCTTAAATTCTCATTGGACGCGTTCTAATTTTTCAACCACAAAAATGTCTCTACTCAGTCAGACCTAAGAAGAACTCTTCTTTTACTAGTTCCTGTCTACGCTGCGTCGTTGGTATGTTTCTGGTTAATTGAAGTTAAACAAGGCTGCTAGTTAGTTTATGAACGTGGGGAAAAGCAGGTTTAGTGACGAGCAGCTTGAGAATGACGAGCTCTCGTGGTCAAAGCCTGGACGTGCTCATGAATTAGGCCGTGTTTCAAATTTGAGCGTTAAAGTGACAGAATCTGCAAATGGAGCTTGTTTACGGGTGTAGACGCTTGAAGATCCTCAGCTGGGGGATCTGATGGTTGATCTGTCGACTCTCGGGGAGCCGCCTTATTGTTCACGTGTGTTTTGAAGTGAACTCATGATGTGACTTTAGCCTTTACACAAGCAAACCTTCATATTCTGACACAGAGGAAAACAGTTCAATCAGACTCTGCTCCTCCTGTTAGAGCATCATCCTCACACGTGTTTGTTAACTCCTGCAGGTATGAGGTCATAGGCTCCTGTGTTGTTCTTGGGTTTTATTCCACATGTGATACTGTTGCTTGTAAATCTGTAATAATTGATATATATATATTTATATATATATATATATAATAAAGCGTGTATGTATCCCCCTCCCCCCCAGCAGCAGCCGATCAAGAGGAGGAGAGGTGAGAGCTCCTTCGACATCAACAACATCGTGATCCCCATGTCTGTGGCCGCCACCACCAGAGTGGAGAAGCTGCAGTACAAAGAGATTCTCACACCCAGGTAAACATGGACTCCTCCCACTGTGGGAGCGGCAGGTGTGACCAGCAGGATGTTTGTTCTGTTCGCTCTGATGCGGCACGTTTGTTAGCGCCTCCCAGCCGCCTGGTTTCTGCCTGCTATCTGTTTTTAGTCTCTTAATATCCTCCGCTGCCGTGTCCTCACATGAATCGTCCTCTGGTGTAGGTGGCGAAGCGTGGACATTTTCTCCCAACTAATAACTGAAGAGGAGGATGAACGAGAGGTTTGTGTTTTCTACTTTTCATCAGCTGGGTTTTAAAATGTGTTGGAGTGTGTGAGCTTAAAGACACAGAATCAGCTGCTTCCTAATGTTTCAGTCAAGAACATGTAGGAGGACAGTGAATGAACAGTGACACCTGGTGGTCTAATTCATGAACTGCAGTTTTAAAATCCCTCAGAAGTTTTAAGGCAGATTTTTAAGTTAATCTATAAAATGTCAGAAAAATGTTTCATGAACTTAAAAACATTCAGATTAATTCTCTCAATTTCATGTTTTGGTTGAAAATAATATCCTAAAAACAGTTTCTGTATTAAAAAAGTCTTAAGAACATGGAGAAAGTTTCGAACTTGCAGGAAGATCATGAAATGATTTTAGTATTTGTGTGTATTTATGTTTTTTCTCCGCAGGTGGAGGACCTGTCAGACGCAGCATTCATCCTGCTCCATCAGCCGCATGAAGACCAGGAGCGGAGTCGCTGGACCTGGATGGCGTTGGCTCCGGCTAAGAGGAGAGGCAGCAGGTCAGAACCTCAACACTCAAAGATAAATCAGTTTTAATGAGAACATCCGAAACCTAAACCTTTGTCCCACAGGTCGTACAAATCTGTGGACGGGCGGACCACGCCGTTGCTGTGCGGCACCAACCCTCCCACCCCCCAGCCCGCGTCTCCAGACCCGGGCCACTGCCCCATGCTCCACGACTACAGCTACGTGCCGTCGCCCATGAGTCCGGCGAGCCCCGACACCACCTCCAACCCCCACACACCCTGCTCCAGGGACTCCCATCGTCTGCTGTCCAGCGAGGACACACGGTGCTCGACGCCGGACTTCACCTTCGAAGAGCGGGTACGTCCTGCGATGTGAAATCTGCCAAATATGCCTGAACGAGAGTTTGATAATAATCTAAGAAATCCAAGTCTGATGGAGACAAACAATAAATTAAAATTACTAATATAAAGCTGATGTGCAACGTGTTAAACATCTCGTGGGGTTTTCAGACGGTGCCGCCGTGGGAGCGCCGCTGCTTCCCCATGCCAGAAGACCCGGAGCTGGAGCCGGAGCCGGAGAGCGACCCCATCAGGCCCAGAATGCGCAGCATCTCAGGTTGCCGAGTAACAGCCTACGGACGTCTGGATTCGGACGACATGGATCAGCCTTGCGACGACGACGGCGGCCCCAAAAATAAGGGCTCCGCCCACCGATAAATGACTGACAGGCTGAGGTCGCCCGGCCCCTCCCTCCACCACCGCACCCCCGCCCCTCACCCGCCCTCAGCTCCTCTCTGGCATTAACAAGCAGAACCTCAACGCAGAGTAAGATATTAAATGGGTTCCTGTTGTTTGATATTCAAACATCAGTCTAATACTTTCACAGTTTTTAGTGAACATTATGGAGATAGAAGCCTTTTCCCTACACTTGTTTTTGTCACAGGAAAAAAAGGATAAATGTAAAAAATAAAAAAAAGGAAAAAAGTATAAAACAAACACGTTAATAAAAAGATTTCTGTAGTAGGCTAAACAATGTACATGGGGGCTTAGTGGTGTTTCATATGTCGCGTGTACACTCGTAGCGCACTATGTAGCGGACTCCTCAAAATATGGCCAAAGGGTGTTTTCTATTGACTAGTTTGCTTGTAATTCCCATGTACATTTTTAGTGGAGTGACAAATAACAAAACAAGAAAAAATACCCCCCCCCCCCTTCTCCTCCTGCCCTCCTCATCCAAATAAACAGGTACATTTGAGATGTGGTCCCTTCTTCTCCCACTAGAGGTCGCCTGAAATCACCAGAGCACTTCTCCAAACTGCCAAGTCTCGTTTTTTGTTGGTTTGTTTTCTTTGTTCGTCGGTTTGTTCTTTTCCATTCCTGACATGTTTTTATTTGTATTTGTTTCTGTCTGTTCCAGCGTAAAGACACAGTCTGTGTTTTATTTTGAAGAAGTAAAATAAATAAAAAAAATCATTCCTTTTTAAGGTCTCTGTAGAGAGTGTCCAGCTCCCTCCTGGCCCCGCCCCCCTCGCCCTCACAGGCTCTTCACTCTGTTTGGTTGTAACGTGGGCGGCGGCGCTCGGGACCGGGGCGTCTTTTTTTTTTTTCCTTTTCTTTTGAGCACTTGCCCTTACAGAAAGCGCTGCTGCATGCTGGGAAAACATGCTAACGTTTAGTCTTATCACAAGAGCAGTCAGATTTCCACTTAATGGAGAAAAAAAGGAATTAATCGCAGGGGATAATTTGTACCATCTGTTAATTTAGCCTTTTCTCGGTCATTGCTGTATCACAAGAGTCCAAACGTGGCAAAATAAAGACTTAAAATAAAACGCCCCCCCCCCTCCCCCCTCAACTCTTCATCCTTTGTCCTGCGAACATTTCAAATGTAGCAGCTCTTCGCTAAACGCCCCCGAGCTCAGGTTCTTCAATTTAAGGGAAATCATTTTCTGCTGTTGAATAGTTTCACCATCAATTGATCAGATCCAGATTCTCTGTTGGATTTTTCAACCTCCCTCTGTCCCCCCCTGTCCTCCCCCTCCCTCCCTTATTGCTATGCAAAAAAAAAAATCTATGGTTGTTTCATTTTACACCTCTTTTTATGCCACAGCCATTCAATCACTGTTTGTTTTCTTTTGTAGTTAAGCAAGATGTCGATGTACCTGTTCGATTGTTGCAGCAGTTAACCTAATCAAAAAGCAGAATTGTTTTTTCTTTTTTGTAAATAGTACCATTAAAACATTTATGTTTAACTTGGAGCAGTTGTCCTGGTCTCAAATCCTTCAGGGACGAAACTGCCCCGGATCCCTCCCTCCCTCAGACAGCTGCCGTTTCATCAACGCTTTGTTTTTTGCATCTTTGAAATGTGGCCTGTCCGGTTTCTCTGAGCGGAGCTCAAGTGATGAATGGGACACAACTTCAAAATGGCGGACAGTGAGAGGGAGTGATTTCGGGCGCTCGTGTTGCAATCGCTCACGACGACGGTGACTTCATAGCATTTATTTTCAAATACACATATACAGCAACAAGAATCATCATAAACCAGTTATTGATCAAATGCACAGTAACGAGAACAATCACATTTCCACAACTGTACAGCGTCAGAATGAAACCAAAAAAGAGGTGACGAGTTTCTCTCACTGCAGAAACGCCTCCGGTGCAGAGGTCCAGCACAGAGAGGAGGCGGCGCTCAAACCTTTAACGCTCGACTCCTCTCGTCTGCCCTGCACTCTCTGTCCGATGTGGCCGATCAATGGAAAAGAGAACCGTGAATTTACTGTAGCATGCAGATAATGTAGCGTTGCACCTTTTAAAATCTCATGTGTCTGTTTCTTTTTAAATTAAAGAAGCGTCTTTGCAACCATAGAGATAAAATACAGTTTTATATCTATGTCAGCAACTTGTTGCACATACAGAGGTGGGAGCAAATTGTGGGACTTCATCACAACCTGAGTGTGAAGTTAATCACCTCACACACACCTTGCCTTTTTTTTTTTAGTCAGCATATTCTACCAGAAGCATAGATATAAACAGGATATACAAAGAGACCACTTTGTGAAGGGAGGCAACAAGCAGACGGCCGTCTCTTACATGAGGAGCATGCAAGAAGTTGTTTCACTCATTAAGTCACGAGGAAAATTCATTAGGACGTTTTCTGAGAATGTGAGATAACATATGACGAAAAGAGGAAACCGGTCATCTCCAGCTGGTTGTTAGAATACAAAATAAAAGCTTCAACACAAAAGTAAATAAATCTTCCTTTATGTGAAATGCACCGTACGGCCAAAAATATGTGGACGAGCCCGTCAACCTACTTTACTTCAGAACTCGTGATTCTGGTTTCTTCAAGGTTGAGCCTCTTTAGTCGCAGTTAAGAAAATCTGAGAATAATCAATCAAACCAGCGGTTACCAACATCAGGGCTGAGACTCCAGCGCCATACCCAGACTCCCCACTAGGGGTCGTTAGATCATCTTCAGGGCTCAAGGGAAGAAAACAAACATCAGCTTCCTCTAATCTGAGTTTTTTAAGTTAGTCTAGAACTTCGTCTTCTATACAACCGGTTGAATTATCCCAGAAAACGAATTAACACCAGTAGGTGTAAAATCCAGGCGTCCACATACTTTTGGTCACGCTGTGTCTCGTTTTCTTTGCCAGGAACTTGAGCGTTATGCTACGATCCGTTACACCTCAGAGCTCGAATGACGTCGCACCGGAAAAACCCCGAGTCGACAGTCGTTAGCCATTGTTAGCAAAACAAATTCGTAATAACGCAGTACGCTAACTAACGCCGTAGTAACACGTCTACAGACAGTAATTGGACAGTACTAAGTGTACGATAGAAGTGCTAGCAGTAAAAACTTTCACTACTGTTGATACATGGAGCAGCCATCTTGGATTCCTACTTGAGGGGGCGCTCCAGACGCAACTTCGCACTCAGAGGTCGGTGAGTCCGAGCTCTGAGCTGTGACGGAACGCAGCGTTAAAGGTGAAAACAACCAGCTGAGCCACATCCTGATGAATCCTGCGTCTCTGTATCTGACTTTCTCTCCCGTTAGCGGCGCTCATCTCACCTCGACCCACTCCGGTCAACATGCTTTCGCTTTTCAACATGTTCATCTTCATGTTACGTGATTTAAAACACTCGTTTTTTATACTTTTAAAGTTTGAGTGTGTAACTTTTGCGACAAGAAATAAAACAAGTTCAATCAGTGAGCTCGAAATGCAGCTTCGCTCAAATTAGCACTGGCTGGTATGACCGCTAGCCTCTGGAGGCTAATGTTAGCTAATGTCAAATTACTTTTTGATCCTTTTTTCCCTAATGCTACTGTTTTAACTAACTTTAAGACTTAGCCACAATGAACGTAGTTAGCTACCTGCGAGTGCGTACAGCAGATTAAATACTGTATTTAATGTCTCTTTCTGAATAATTTTGCCATGAACGTTACACGTTAATGCCTTAATACTAATTTTCTTCTTCATACATCAAACTTTAGCGCATTTAAAAAAAACTAGTAAGAAAAAATTCCCTCACCTCAACTTAGCCAAAATCCATCTATCAGCACGTTCAACATTAAAATGCACCTTCGCTCGATTTAGCACCACTGGTTTGCTGGGACCGCTAGCTTAAGGTAGCTAATGTTAGCTCACGTAATCAAATGACTGATTCTTCCACATTTGTGCTGATGTTTTAGCTAAATGCTAAGTTGTCTCGAGAAAAAGTAAATTTTGTGAAAATTAGCACTGGCCTGGTATGATTGCTAGCTTGTGGTTGTTAATGTTAACCAATGTTAGCTAATGTTATCAAAAGTCTTTTTGATTCTTCAACACTCGTGGTACTGTTTGCAAGCTATACAGGTGTAGCATTTAGCATTAGCTCATGAGTGGCTTGTTTTAAAACTTAACTACGATGAACGCTAGCTACCTGTGAATGCGAACAATGTTGCACTTTTCCTGACTTGCGGTTAATTTCCATCCTCGTACATCAAGCTTAGCGCATTTACAACAAAGCAAAACAACAAACCTTCCATCCATCTGCTTTTCAACACGTACGTATTCATTCCCGTTTCAAATACTCGTTTTTTTCATAGCGTGAACGTGTGAGAGAAGAAATAAAACTAAATTCTTCTCACACATGAAAAGTTGAATTCGTTAGCTCAAGTTATTGAATTACTTCATGTTTTAGCTTAATGCTTAACAGTCTTAGCATTTTGCATTATCTCATAAGTGGCCTTAAGACTTAACCGCGATGAGCATGGCTAGCTAGCTGTGAGTGCGCACAGCAGTTTAAATACTGTAAATCACAAACTCCTTCTGTTTCTGGATAATTTGGCCACGAACGTTACACTTTTGATGCTTACCGGTTAATTTTCCTTCTCGTACGTCGAGCTTCAGCGCGTTTACAACGGAGCAGTAACAAAAAAAACACTGACAGTAGCAGGCACAATACAAATGTTTCTTCATATCAAATACATGTCATATATCCACAGAGTACGATTATAAAACGGTGCCCCACACAAACCGAAGTTTCTAGTCTAGCTGTTCTCTTTTTTTTTCTTTCTTTTTTAAAATCCAGGTTACGTCACCTGCAGCACCTCGAGGTGCAGAACACGTCGGGACGAAGCGAAGACCGCAGTGAGGTCTGAAAGCGTTTTTCTTCTGCGTTTGACGAGAAACTTTTGCTACTTTTCTTTTTAACGTTTTTTCCTCACGCGCCCGTCACCTATACCCTGTAACTGTCCCTTCTGCTTTAGCACAAACTGAACCCGAACAGTCGGCGTTTCCCTCCGATTTCCTGGTTGCTATTCTTGTTTTACTTATCACTTAAGAAAATAAAATAAAAAAAACTCGGGGGACATTGAAAACAACGTTCTGATGGGTTTACAGTGTTGAACCAGATTCACCAGGATATGTGAAGAATAATTCATCAGATTCACGAGGAGCTCTGCTGGGTTGCTTTAACTCTTAAAGGGACGTCTAGAAAAGGTGGAACTAATAGCGAACGTAGAGATCAGAGACCACAGAGAGAAATCAAGGACATCTCGGCCTACGCTCCATTTTTTTCTTGATTACTCTTCTAGGAATGGCCCGAGAACTGTTTGAAAGGTTAGTGAAGGATAAACAGTGATGGGAGCTAAAAAAGTCCTGTGAAAACAACGAGGAAGGCATCACAACTCGTCTACGTGGTCGTGTTTCTGAGGTGGCGGTGGAGAGAGGGCGGGGCGGCCGGGGTGCATTCACAAGCCCTGTTTGGCCAGGGAGGCGGACACCTGGTCCGCCAGCGTGGAGAGCTGCGGGGAGTCGGCCATGTTGATGCTGCCGGAGGAGGACACGGTGCTGAGCTGTTGGGGGGAGTCTTCCAATGAGACGATCTCGGCGCCGTGGTCGGTGCGGGCCCTGGCCTGCTCGCGGAAGCTCAGTTTGTGGCTCTCAATCTGCGGGTGACATCACAGACGAAGGTCAAACATGGAGGACGAGCCAGACGTCGACTCTTGGCCATGTAGCGTAGCTGTTACATGCTGTTTGTATAAAATTACACATTTAACCCCACGAGATAAAATGTCATCAAATGTTCCTGAGGAGTAACTAGAACCTGCGATGTGAACGCATCCAGATGTGCGTGAAGTTGCACAGCTGGCGAGCGAGTACTTACAGGAGTCCTCAATCTTTATGAGAGGGTTCGTCAGGGTGGGTGTGTTGGAGGGGACGGTCTGAGGTGACTGGGGGGGGGTGACAGCAGGGGAGGGGAGTGAGGGGCTGTCTGAGGCGCTCCCCTCGGCTTCCTTCCCCTTCTCCCTCTACAGAGGACGCCCCCGCACAGGGAATGGACAAGTGACATGCAACAAAAATACACAAATCAAAATGCAACACAACGCATGAGAAACCAAAATGGACAAACACTGACGAAAGGAAAAGAAGAAGAAGATGATGAAGATGATGATAAACGATTAATTATGAAGAACAGAAAGAAAGAAAACAGCTGGTGGATGAGAAGCGTCTGAACGAGAGAAGAAGGGAAGTGATGAAGGGATGAGAGATGAATGAACGGAGGGTTTGAAGCTGCTTTTGTCTGAGTGGAAACCTTGAATTTCATGTTTCAGCCTCTAACTGAGACCTTCTGCTCATATTCAGCCTCATTTTAATTAGAATTATTTTATCATCATTGATTTATTTATGAAGAACCTTAAACATCACGGGGCCTCTGAGCCCCGAGTGTTGCCTGCAGGCTTCCTCCGACAACCTCCACCAGGGAGACAGAGCCTGAGAGTCGACGCTCAGGGTTTCCAGACACTGTTGAAATATGAAGTCGTTGTTTGTGTTTCTGCTGAGTCGACCTGTGTGTTCGTGTTTCTGTTGAAGAGTGAGACTCGTTGCTGACTCAGTTTCACCCTCTAGAAAAACCGTTTCCTCTCTGAGTCCTCTGCTGCTTTCAGGTTCGTCTTTAGATCTGTGTTTTAGAAGAGTCAGTTCTGAAGCTTTGATCCGTGCGATCGGCAGAACTGACACGACAACACGACGAAGGGAAACATGTCGGTGCCAGATAAACAATGAATCTCCTGTCATCCAGATGTTTTTACCCTTTTCTGTCCTCCTCCAGGGACGTGGCCGATGTTTCCAAGAGAACCGACCTTGGACTGAACTTTAAACTCCAGCTTCTCGTTTTTGATCTCCACGTTTCCACCGCCTGAGGAAAACATAGGAAATAAAGGTTAAACACATCAAACAACATCAGGCAGAATCTCGACCTCTCGACCAACAAGTCACATGCAAATAAAGATCCAGTCCCAGTGGATTTCAATGTGCGGAGGTGACATCACATACATTTATTCAATCACACGGTTTCACCTCACCTGGTTTGTGACGAATGTTGTCTTTCGATCCACATTTAGACTGAACGGTGCTCAGGTCAATCTTTTTGTGCACAATTTGAACCTGTGGAGAAAAACCAGGCACGGCAGAAAATCACTGAATTCATCTGAAACAGCAAAGATCAATTTACACTCAGTTTACATGCAAGTGCACACGAGCTGATCCTGTTAGTGTCCCGGAGATCACACAGAGCAAGTGTCGTCAAAGAGGGAAAACAGACGTGTGTGAAACTGGATTAGATTTTACAGTTCAGTGCTAAAAACACTAAGATCTAAAAGTGCATCTTGTTCTGACACGTGAGTGACTGAAAAATGTAAATTATCGTGTTCAGAAGTTTGTTTGATCATATTTTTGACCGGTAGATAAAAAGCCAGATGTCTCAGCCGTGCATCGCGGCGCTCGTCTGAACTGACGTCATCTCAGGCTCTCCTGTCATGGCCGCTTGTCTCGCAACACAAAAGTGCTCGGTGTCGTCTCTGCTGAGGTCAACTTACAACAACAGGCGGACTGTTGGAGAGGCCTCGGACAGAGACTCTTTGTTGCTGTGAGGAGAATCTCTCACACGCGTTGATCGGATGATTGATTCACTTTCTGCCATCAGGGAATTGAGATTATTTTAATTTGTGCAACGTGAGGATCAGTTGGAATCGAACACAAAGGATTCATGCACGTTGGCTCAGGGGCTGGTTCAGGTGGTTTCCACTTTACACCGATCACAGTCAAACCGACAAGCACAGACTGGACAGAGTTATCGAGCTCACACTGGAGCATGAGCATTACATCATGTTTTCAGCTGTGACAGAAGAAGCTTTGTGAGCACGACACCGTGTCCGAGTCACGGCGACTGATCCCACTCTAGAGAACTAGTGTTAGTGGAGTAGATCTACAGCTCTGGAGAGGTCGCGGTGAAATGCTCATGCCTGTTTATAAGTGTGCTGATAAAACTGTTAGGACGTGTTAGAGAGTCGGGGTTGAACACAGACAGGAGGTTTCGTGCACTCTCACATCCTGCTCCTCTGAGAAGATGCATTCAGAGGAAGAAGCAGCTGCACAGCTGCAGACAATCCCTCGTTTCTCTACTCACATTTCCACCACCGGGTACATGTTTTATATTATCTTTGGAGCCACACCGGGACTGCACATTGCTTAAGTCCAGCTTCTTATCAAGAATTTGTACCTGGAAAGTCGATATGTGGAAAAAAGACGGTTATCCAGGGGGAAGCAACAGCAGCAGAGCTGTTGATGAGGACCAGTGCTGAGAGGACATTAGATCTTGGGGGGGGGGGGG